GTCGCTCGATAAGAATTGACCAATCGCAGTCGATTATTCTTACGACTACGACCATTGTAGACAGAACCGAAAATCATTGTAGCGGAGGCTTTACCGGCCGCCGATCCGTCCCGAGCAGCCGCTCCTCTGATAATATTATACTTCGTCGATAAGAAACGCGCCCTCTGAACACGAATGCCTTTGAGGCGCCATTTTCTCGCGCGCTTCAGAAAGACAAGAGCTCGTCGGACGACGCGGGACCGTTGGAGTATTTCTGGTAAAATCTCAACACTATCAAACGAACGACAGCGCGGCTGGTTTACATCCATTTCCGCCAATTACCGTAAGTCATTTTTAATCTTGCTCTCGTCTAATTTTCACCTATTTTCGCATTTCAAGACAATGGAAATAGACAATTCCTTCGTGACCGCTGGGAACGTATGTACATGCAAGTCCGATTTGTAAAATGTGAGAGACTCGGGCGCGGTTTCACCAACGTCGCTCGATTTTCAGCTTAGTTTAATTCGTTTCGCGGTATTTCACATCGCGCACGCGAGTGTCCGAAATTTCGCGCGATCGATGATTTTCGCGAGTGAGTGTTCTCAAAAAATCAGCTGAGCGAACGGTATCAAGTAAAATACCGGCGTGGCCGCTTTCAAGTTTGGCTGATGGCAGAGAACAATCCGTTAACGCTTACTGTCTCAGTCGTAGACGTAGGGCAAGTCCTTTGTCTCTTTCCAACTGTTACTTTAGAAAGAGACAAAGAAGCCTAGGCTAAGCTTAAAGTTAAACAACGTTGGCGAAAAAATCGGGCCTCGGTAATCATTGAGCGTATTCGCGAGAATAAAAGTAACGACAAAAATTTGAGAAGTAAGAAAACACCGACGCAGTCATGAAAGGTCGACAGGCGACCCCCAATCTCGCCTAAGACGCGAATGTGAGCTGCGCGAAGAGTCAACGGCGTTGCCGTTAAGGCCCGGTCTACAATGAGTTGTTAGTCGTTAGTCAGAAGTCGGAACTATATGTCGGTCCTTTTTCTTCCACCCAGAAAGGAAAAGGATCAACGTATAGTTCCGACTTCTGACTGACGACCAACGACTCATTGTAGACCAGGCTTAAAGGTAAACCGAAAGTAATAATGAAACTCAAACGAGAATGCGCAACGAACCAAGTTTTCAGACGGCTCCGTCGAGTCCTGAACACGGTTCAAGCCCGACCGAGAGAAATCGTTTGAAATTGCCGAGGTTCTAAGCGCTCGCGAGGACAGCGGTTACATTAATCCACCAGCGACTTGAGCATTTATTTATATATTTAAATAAAGTATATTTTGAAGCATTTTTGCACAATACTGTTCTACACACCTGCTTACGTAAGTAAAATAATCCCGATCGCAGGATCCGCGTCGATATTTATGTTATATGTACACACCTTGCAGAGACCAAGTTCGTTGGATTATTTAAAAGGTACACAGTCAGCTGCCAGGATTCTCGGATCTCTCTCGTTCTCTCTTTCTTTCTCTCGAGCTCGGTCGCCGCGTTTTACGAAGTCGCGAACCGACCTCGGTTCGCCCCCTCCTCAGTGACTAGGTCAGTATACAGTTTCGAGTCATGCAGCGATTCGCCGAGTTTCGGCCACGAATAAAAACGGCGAATGTAAAACGTCTCGTCGCTACGCGGGGAAAGGGTATGCGCGAAACACGTTGTCGTCTCTTGTCTCTGCAAATGCAATAGCATCCGGCTTTGGCAGTATGTGAATTTTCATTCTCCGATTAGGTGCACGGCGGCGCAATTTCTCGTGTTTTCATCTTCACTTATTAATAAATGTATCGTAACTTAGGTCTTCCCCGAAAATATCCGTTCACGGCTTACGGCCTAAACGTACACGATGTCGCGCGGCGAGTAATGCAAACGTGGGACGCAAACGAACATTACGGAACACCGAAAAGTTGGAAACGCACGCTGTATTGCTTTGACACTCTGTATAGACGACGAGGCAGGACGCCGAGGTCCCCGTCCGCTCTTCTCATCTGGTTCTCGACCGACAATAACGATCGTTCCACGTTTTGTACTTTGTAAGTCAGCTACATGCTCATCACAACGCTCGGAAGACCGTCGAGCTGTCCTTCGGAAATTCACGATAGCAACGTCGTTTCTGCGTCAGTCAGAGAAGCCTCCCTGGAACCTCCCTGCGGCAGACTGACCGAGGATCGCGCTAGCGACTCGTTACATCGCTGCACGATGGGAAAGAGAAGAGAGAAGATATGAGAAAAGTATTGCACAGAGATGTAAAGACACAAGTACACACTTGTGCCATTTAGCGCGATCGATTGGCGAAAATCGAACCAATGTGAGAACGTGAGAATTCACATTGTCAACTAAATGCAAATCCGAAAATGCGAGTCGCGCAACGTCGGCGAGATGATTCCGTGACGACGGAAGGAGAGGACTCCTGCGAGAATTCCTCGAGAATAGACTCGATTTTCTTCGTTGATATCGCATAGAAAAAATAATTTGACGCTTTCGCGCGAAAGCACAACCGCGGGAAAAAGTTAGATCTCTTTTCCATTTATTTATTAATTAGGATCGAGCTCGTTTCAGGTAACGAAAGAAGTGGCTCTCGTGCGCAGAGGGCCGGAACCTGCTGCGAGATTCCTTGTCAGCGTAAGAAACGTCTAGCGAATTGACGAAAGACCCGCGTGGGCTGATACTACTATCAGCGAAGACGTACCTCGAGGGCTGCTATCGCAAAATCACACGTAGTTATTTGTCAACTTCGAATACCGACAGCATGTCGGTGTAAATCGAACAATCATCCTTAAGCCCGTATCAGACTACGGATTGGGATTGGGATTAGATTGAAATTTGACCAATCGCAGTAAAGTTTATTAATCTCAGGTTTAGTAACTTTTACTCTAATTGGTGAAATTTCAATCTAATCGCAATCTCAATCCGTAGTCCGATACGGGCTTTACGCGATCTTTCTGAACGGGCGCGCGCGACGCAAACAACCAACGTTACACGACTAGTATATCTACTCACTACCAAAAAATATCGATCAGCATACGGAATGAGTCTGACGAATTGGAAATCAGCAGAGAATATTGTTTAACGGCCAGAGAAAGTTCGAAATCAAACTTTTCCTCGACGAAACCTGAGCGACTTGTCGAGTACGTGGCGATTGAAGTTGGAGCTTCGCGAGATATCGATCCGCGTATCGGGTGGCAGGCACACGTGTCTTTGTGCTTTCCTGGCTCTGGGCGGCTTTCGAGCCTGTCAAGTGGTCAAGCTCGTTCATCAGATGAGTAGGCCTCCGGATAAGGTTTGCGTCGAATTTCTCAAAGGACGTGCTTCCTAGTACCGACATCTATCTTTCAGATTCACACGGTATATTGAGAGACAGAAGAGAGAAAGAATGTGTCTCAAGTTAAATATACTTTTCAGAAGGTAACGTTTTAAAGTCTCTCTAAATGCAGCGCAACATTTTTAAACGTCATTCTATTATCTTCTCCCACACGTATTGCACTCGTCTCTTCGGCCACAATCATTCACAGCGGCAGTTACGTCGCCGCTTTTCCGCACGCACGCGCGCGCGCACACACACACATACACGCCACTCATTCTTATACGCGCTTTCTCAATATAATCGCATCGCGAAAGCTTTCACAGCGAGAAAAATTTCAGGAAGGTTTGCGGAGGGATCGGCACGTGGAGGGACGCCTGGTCGACGTCCGCCAGTTTCTCTTGAAACGCTGGGTCCTGATCCGCGATGCAAGGGTGGCCCAGCGATCGCCAAAACAAGCAACGGCAATTGCGGCACAACTGTATCATCTCGGCGTACTCCTCCCGTAATCCGAACGACCTGAACAGAGTAAGATATATAGTACTGACAAATGTAAAACGTTGAGTTGCTACACTAGCGTTTGCGGGCAATCCAATCCCACGTGAAAGAACAGTACCTTCGAGCGATAGTGAATATGGTTTTCCAGTCTTTCCCAGGATTATTTTGTCTGGTGGTGGCGATTTGCTGCGGCGTGAAGTGATACTGGGCGAGCTCGCGCCAGATTCGCTGTTCCTGCGCCAGAATGGCGAGGTGCTCGCACGCCTCGGACGAGGCTTCGATGTCTCGAGGATCGCTCAAGCGTAGGAGGACCTCTCGACGGCACTCAGGCGGCAGATCCGACCACTGGGGTTGCTGCTCCTCGTCCGGCTACAATGACTCGTTCGTTATCGATCAGCGTCGTCGTGAATACTTTTTCTAAGAGATGAAATTGCTCCGTACTAACTTGAACGTAATTTTTCAATTATCCTCACCTGGGTGATAGTGATGGATGAGGCAATCTGCAAGATTCTCTCCAGAGCCGCTTTATGCTTCTCCCATAAGATAACGGAGCCCAAGGGTCTACCGCCCCAGCAGCAGCCAGCGCTGAAGGCTCGAACTCTCTCTATAAGACGCCGCAGCCTTCCTGTCTGTTGTTGCGACAGCGATACTAAAACAACGCGCTCGGTTCAGCACGTGTAACAACCGTCCTGCCTTTCTTCAGGAAGAAGAGATAACAAGCATAGAGAAATGTCACAGAATCGCCAAGTAAGTTTCGCGTCGGATTCATCCGAGGACTCTTAGAAGCTGGCAAGATCCTTTTACCTTCCAGAGCGACTTCCTCGAGCATGTTGAAGAGCACTCTCTGGGCGCATCCGCTAAGACCGCCCATCCTGTGACTGACCAGGAGATCCAGGAGACGGACTATATAATTGAATCGACGGCAGTCGTGTACCGCGGACAGGAAATCCAGCCTCTTCAGGGCGTCACTCAGACCATTGAAGCCGGCGATCTGTAAATTTAGGAACGGATAATGATCCCGCCTCGCTACGATGTCTAAGTATAGGAGACACAAGAGCCGTCGACAGTTTGTTACTGGTATCTCTTGCTCTTTTTTTCTTACTCGCCGCACTCAACCTGTCTCTATCGGGCAAATCCCAGTCTCTTTCCTCTTGCACAAAGTTGTGTCTAAATAAAGACCGGGCCGGAAGGAGTCACTCACCTCGCGTGTACACTTCAGCGTGATGTGACAATGTGGTTGGACGGCGTTTTCTGAAATTTGAGAAAAATACTCGTCGACCAGAGATCTTCACGGGCATCGTTTTACTAAAGACCCCGCTTTTATAGCTCGACAAAGAGAAAGATTACTTGATCTCGACGTATTATTTGAGGGTCTTCGATAGGCAGCCGGCTTAAATCATTAATATCGGAATGACATAGAGAAGAAAAAAAAGTTTGCAATAAACTTGGATTTATAATTATAGCTAACGAAGGCCTCACGTCGACTGGAATCGATAAGTCCTCAAGTTTCAATATGGACTACAGTACTCACCTTTCTTCTTGTCCTTCTCCTTCTTATCGCCGGCATCCTTTTCGCCGCTGTAAGAAAAGACAGCGCGTTCTTTAGACGTGGCACATAAAATTCGTCGAGATTCAGAGAATTTATTAAGACGAGAAACAACTCGAACTTGGCCAATTATAAAAAGAATAGCTACACGTCGCGCATAATATTTTATCGTTGCACGTTGCACTGTCTGCTTTTTTTTTTCCATATCTCAGTTGCTCGACATAAAATAACGAAAGTTTTTCGAGATAAAATTCGATTTATTTTGTTCATCTGCCAAATGATTTGCCTTGTAAATCCATGATTTATCTTGTGCCGAATAGAAGTGTGAAGAAGGTACTATCTGCGAGATGCTGGAGGCACTAATGTACGGATCCCAATTATGGCACAATACACCGCGACCGGTTTCAGCGGACTCGCGGCTGCTACGTCTCAACGGAGTTGGCTTCGATTCGACTATGGAAAGACTATCGTGACTAATAATATTCAAGAAATAGCTTCGTGGGACTTATACCCGTTTCTACACCCGTTTTCACAGCATTTTGTTTCACAGTGACATACGGGCACGTGCAGCGTATGTAAGATTATTGAAATATTGTCGAAAGATTCTCAAATAATGACGTAATAATTATTAGTTTAAGTTATTTCAAGTCTAGACAACGATTGTCAGTTCTCAGTAACATCAATTTGAAATACTCCAAGAGTAAATCTATGCCTTCTGGTTATTTATCTAACAGCCGATTTTGTTTTGTACCAGTAAAAAAACAATGAACTTTTAACTTTACATCCACAGCGCATTTGAGAAAAGTGAATATGGTTTCGCCAAGTGACTGCGAGTTGTTAATATTGTCGTATGTATTCGACGCGGGTATTGGGCGAAAAAGAAGGAAAACACGCGTGGGCGTTCGTGTCTACGGTATAATCAGTTAAACAGGCCACAACGAATCCGTCTCGAGAGTGGTACCTTTACCGTCGTCAACGGAGACCGTAATTGCTTTATAACACGCTGACGATAATTAACGTGGACACACCTTGTAAGTAGACATTAACGGCCACTTTCATCGACTACAATAACGCTTTTTATTTTCAGTCGCGACGCACGAGAAGTTCGAGGAAGCAGAAAAACGCATCGGAATTGCAGCAAATCGCATTAGACATCGCCCGTTACCGCAGGATGACTCCATAGCCTCTTATTAGACGCGACATCGGCTATTTAACTGTCACTAGATTACAACGCGTTCTATTTATAAGGAAGAAGTTGGAATACACTCGCCAGACTTGTTCACATCATTAAAATGCGAGGATTGATTCGCGCCGCGTATTGTCGGGACGCAAAACGCGGTCATCCTTGCTAATTTAGAAGATTCGCAGCACCTGCGATCGATACTTATTAAATCTGGACTAAGCTCCTTCGTAAGCGCGTTTAAAATACAAAGACCGCGATACGAAGATAGGAATCGAATGCTCCGCTGCATATAATGCGTTCCAATTTCTTCCCCGCGAGATTATTCATGCTAATAAAAATACCTGCATAGAAACTGGATTCCTTCCAGGGCTTTGAAAATCTCGATTTGCAATTGCAGAGATTTAAGATTCTGGCACACGTTATATCGAATTTGAATATAGAATCGCAAGATGTCAGATTTCTTCGTTGGATGCTCCGTCGGTCGCAGAAGAGTCTTCCAGACAATTTTCGTTAAGAAAAAAAAAATTATTCAACTAAATTAAGTTATTTTTCGAATCTCAAAGCAATACAATCGCAAACAGATTGTTCCTTGCGTAAGGAACTTTTAGCAGATGTTGTTACTAGATCTTAGAAGTTTATCGTTGCGTTGTTTCTTATAGATTTTCGAATTAACTATCCTAAAATAACGAAGGTAAGCTTAACGTTTACATATCGCCGCACTATTCCCGTCGCGCTTATGATTCTGTCTACGCAAGCGACGGCGACGAACGTTCTATTATAGGGACGCAATGACGACCTTGTACGTTAACTCGTGCATACATTCGCACATGCAACAGCCTCGCGTGCGGGGCCTCGTATTTGTGATTTTTCCGCATGAGCGAGACGATGCGGGAGAGCATTTTCGATCATCGATCGGTGATGCGTGCCCTTGCCCTTTCTAATCGGGCGGGTTCGGCCGGGCGTTTAAGGTCGTCGAATTGCCCGTAGGGGACCTTAATGCACGATGCTGCGGAGAAAGGGAGAGAGAGAGAGAGAGAGAGAGGATATCTTGTACCATTAGCCCGCGGAGTTGCGTAACTACTTGTGGCGCTCATTACAAAAGATCAACACGCGCGTGCATACGTGCGACGAATGAAGAACTGTAAATGCGGAAAATTCTCCCCGGCAGCGCACAGTATCGATAACTTGCAAGTGGAACGATCAATGTCACGTCAATGTTCTATGGCTTGAGGGTAGAAGGACAAACATCATACGCCGGAATACACGGCTTGACGTTCGCGGTGTCAAGATTGCTCGTTTTATTTCAACGATAGACCAGTTGGAGCGGACGTTGATTGAACGATTAAAACGGTACTTTACGAATAATCGAGAGCGAAAGCCTTTGGAAGTATTCAATTTATAATCTCGGGGATTTCACGGTGCCGCGAGTAACAATGAAAGAGTTTCACTCGGCTAAATGTTATCTCGATAACATTTATAACGCAGAAATTGTTAGCCGCCGTGTGACACAATTTCAAAGTTAATAAGCACAATACGTTGATAGGAGATAAATGCAGCTTAGAAAGTTCCGCGGCCTCTTCGCTCCTTTATTTTCTCCATCCAGTTCCGAGCCGCAGAAGGACATCGGTTATTTTAGCTCTCTGCAATGCACGGAGACTGATGTGTAACGCAAATGCATCGCTCTGCCCTCGAAGTACATCATTGCGCCGCACGCTTTCGCGATACAAAACGGTCGGTGTGGAGACACTCGAGTAACCATTTCCAAAAAAGCAGAGGCTTCGAGGAATCTCCGACGCGAAAGATAGGCTTGCGGAGAATTTCGGCGACGGAATTCGGTAACGAATAACCAAAGAGATTCGCGTGCAAGAATTTGGATCGGATATAGCTCCGTTGTCGACCGCCTGATAAATTCTCTGTTATTTCAGGATGTGAAAAACCCAGCCCTGCTTTCGAGAATTATCGAGCTTCCCGGGAAACGAGAGATTCGGGAGACGTGTGCACTGAACAATCGGCCGAGAACAGAAGAAATCGCAAAAGAGGCGTAAGAAAGTCGCGGAATGCTGCTGGGGTAAAACACAAGTCAAAGTATCCACATCCTCGTTAATGATTTCGTCCATTTTCCCCTTTAGGATACACGTGTGGATTTACACCGCACGGAGAGAACTTTTGCTTAAAATTTACCCTGGAAATCATGTAATCGTGGGACAACGTGGTATTTTGAAGAACTTTATGAGTTTTTGGAAATTTTACACCATACATTCTACCAATAAAATGTATATCGAGGGGTAAGCCGCTGAGAGCATTGTGGTGTACAGATTTGCGGCATTACTAGGCATTACTAGACATTTTTAGGGCATTAGTTTGGGTATTAGGCCTTGCTGGGGCATTATAAAGATAAAATAAGATAAGACAAAGTAATGCCCACTGGGCATTAGTGGGCATTGGCGTACAAGATTTTGGTCAGCGGTTTCCCCCTCGATGTATACTGACAAGTAAGGTAAAGTTTAAAAAAAAAACGCATGAAATTCTTCGAAGTGCCATCTTGCCCCACGATTACGTGATTTTCAGGAGAAATTTTAAGAAAAAAAAAATCCTTCCACTTGTATGTCTACGTTTTTATTACATTCACTATCTCGATATATTTCCTCTCAATACATGTATCTTTTTTGCGCTCTAGTACTACGTTGCAACAACAGTTTTATTTAACGTTTTATCACGTACTTGGTATTTTAATTTAAACAACCGCTCGTTTCGTGACAAACGCTCGCAGGTCAGGCCAGGTCTGGTACGCAAGCCGGACGATAAAGACGGATAACGGTAGGTTTTTTCTTTTTACATGAGACAATTCCGCACGGAAAGAAATGCAGCGCGGAGCGGCGGCGGTCTTATACCTTGAGAGACGCGCGAATAATTAATTCGCGGATATATAGAGATCGGCCGGTGCGGAACTTTTACTTCCATCGAGAGTTCACCGACCCTGCATCGTGGTGCGCGCACCACGTCTAATCCCGTCCAGGTTGGGAAAAGGCGCGTAGGATGAATCGTTGAAATAATGGCCGTACGTCGGGCCGACGAGGGGGAAAAACGGAGAAAAGCAGGCCTGTAAATCCTTCCGCACGCAAGCCGCCCGTACTTTCCAGTCATTTCGCCTAACTGTATCAGAATCATTACGTGTGCGCGGCGCGATAATATCGGTAGAAAAGGTACCCCATTTAATTCGCCGCAACCAGGTCGACGCCGATCCCGGTGGGAAGATATATTTTTCACAAATGCACCCGCGCCTTTGAAGTAACACGACATCTCTTTCAGGAAGAAGACGATATCGTTTCTGCAGCCGAGGAGAGAGGCTCTTCCGAATACTTTGCTCTCGTTTACGAGATGCGAGAGGATGCCTAAACGGAGCTAAAGGGTTACCGAAGAGAGATCGTCTATCTTCTACAAAAATGAAAAGAGAAAGATACGGGACACGCTTTCTTCCGTGCCGTACCACGGGCTTTCCGGGTTCCCGTCGTCATTGCGCGATAGCAGAGCACCGCGGTCGACAGCTTCGACGCGGATCCACATGCGACGGGGCCGCGGCGCCGTCTAACCGAATTTATCAAGGCTGCGTGGGTATACGTACACCGCGGAGAGGATTGCGAATTGGCGCGGGTCACGTTACTAGCTGGGTCATGACCCACTTCCGCACCGGCAAGACACGCGCCAGTATTTTCCCATTTTCAGAATTTGACCTAGCCCGCTCTCAAGGATGCCCGAACCCATCAACGCGGAAACTTCGGTTCCTCCGATGCGGATCCGAAGGGATTTGCGGTGCCGTCAGTGCTAAACGTCGAGGCGCGCGCACAATTC